TACTCAAGTCATAGAGTATATTCTCTGCACCAGTCTGAGACTAACACAAATTCAAATAAAAAAAAAAAACAAAAAAAAACTTTATTTGTCCCTGAGGGGCAATTAACCCAGCTAAGGCTGTTTTGTGACACTAAGCTGTAGATCTGATCTGTAATATTTCATTTATAGCGTGGTCTATGTAGAATTTGCATAGGAAATTACTATATGCTGTAAACATTCACATTAATACAGTTGTTTGTACATAACATCTAGTTCTGACGTAAAAACTATAACCTGCTAATTATTCCCCTTAAAATTGGAAGCCAGTAATGTAGGGGAAACTGAACATTTTACAGAAATATCAATTATGGTCTCTGATCATGATAATGTGTTCAGCTACATGGAATACATACACATTGCTGCTTGGATTTCACTTTCTATTTGTTTTTTACAATACAGGTTTTTTTGTTTATACCAACATCCACTATTAAACTGTATAAAGTGTTTTCCAGCTATTTTGTGGCCCATTGCTTAAATTACATGCTTTATAAACACAAGTTGCTGTGCTTCCTACAGTATAATATGAGATTAAGTGCAGTATAAGCTGTCTGCCGTGGCTACGAGTCAGTGTACCTGGGGCTCCTGCTACTGAGCCTTTGTAATTTCACACAGTAGCATTCATATTCTGCTTTGCTGGAAATCATAAGAAACTGTTTGTAAAATTAAGGATGTCCTCACTACAGTGCCCTCCATAATGTTTGGAACAAAGATACATTTTTCCTTGATTTACCCCTCTGCTTTCAAATCAAACCATTCAGATATGATTAAAATGCCTATTCCAGAATTAAGTTTAAAGTTATTTGCATACATTTCAGTTTCACTATGTAAAAATGACCACACTTTTTATACATAGTCTCCCTTTTCAGGGCACCATAATGTTTGGGACATTCGGCTTCACAGGCATTTGTGACTCAGGTGTGTTTCACTGGTTCACTGGAATAAGAAACCTAGGCTTACTTCCATTTGGAGTTTGTAGTTGCCAGTGTTCAACATGAGAAGAGCTGTGCTAATGAAAATCAAAGAAGTTATTATGAGGCTGAACAAGAAAAAATTAGTGACATCAGTCAAACCTTAGGATTACAAAATCAACTGTCTGGAATATCATTAAGAAGGAAGAATGCAGCGGTGAGCCATGGAAGACCTCCACTGATGATGACAGAACAAACCTCACTATGATAAAGAAAAATCCCCAAACGCCTGTCCAACAGATCAGAAACTTCAGAGGCAGAGACGAAGACTTCATGAACAGAAATACACAGGCTACACTGCAAGATGCAAACCACTAGTTAACAACAAAAACAGAGGATGTACAGATTACAGTTTGCGGAAAAGTACTTAAAAGAGCCTGCAGAATTCTGGAAAAAGGCCTTATGGACAGACGATACCAAGATTAACCTGTATCAGAGTGATGGCAAGATTAAATTATGGAGATGAAAAGGAACAGCCCAAGTTCCAAAGCATCGCAGCTCATCTGTAAAACACGGTGGAGGGGGTGTATGGTTTGAGCATGAATGTCTGCCTCAGGTACTGGCACACTTACCTTCACTGTTGAAGTAACTGCTGACACAGTCACACAATGAATTCTGAGGTGTATAGAAACATCTTATTTGCTTAAATGCCTCCAAATTCATTGGACGGCGCTTCATCCTGCAGCAAGATAATAGTCCCAAACATACCGGTAAGGCAACACGGGAGTTTTTCCAAAGCTAAAAGATGGAAAATTCTTGAAAGGCCAAGCCAGTCACCTGATTTAATCCAATTGTGCGTACCTTCCATATGCCGAAGAGGAAACTTAAAGGGGCAAGTCCCCGAAACAGGCAGGAGCTGAGGCTGCAGTTGAGGCCTGGCAGAGCATCACCAGAGAAATATTCAGCACCTGGTGATGCCTATGAATCACAAGCAGTCGTTACGTGCAAGGGATATGCAACAAAGTATTGAACATGACTGCTTTAATATACACACACCATTGCTATGTCCCAAACATTATGGTGCCCTGAAATGAGGGGGGCTATGTGTGAAAAGTGCAATTTCTACATGGTGAAATCAAAATATGTGCTTTAAAGTCTGGAATGTGCACTTTAATGATGTCTGAATTGTGTGTTTTGAAACTCGAAACCGTGGAGCAGAGATGTAAATTGAGGACAACTGTCTTTGTCCCAAACATTACAGAGGGCATGGTAGATTGTTCTCTGGTCTTACCTCAGTTAAAAAATAGTGGATTTTTGTTTCACTAATTAAAAATTTGGCTCAAGTGTGGTAAAGTATTGTCTGTACAATTAAGGATTACACCAATCACCAAGTACTTTAATTTCACGCTTAGGCAGATGTCCAGTGAAAGGGATATATGATTGGATTTATGCACTTGATACTCTTCTATTTCATGTTTAAAGTATTAACCAAAAAACACTGGTCCAAAAATGTTGCTTCATAAGCAGTTACAACCATAAGCTGTTCATTCAATCAGGCCAGTCAGGCAATGCCACATCACAATGGTTCATTTGAGGGTGATATCTGGCTGGAATAGAACCTGCTACAAAGTCTTTCTAACTCAATAAGCTAACTTTGTGGATTGTCACCTATGACGATGGTTGTGAGGCATTTGCAGTATTGTATGGTACAGCATGAGTGGAAATGGCCAGCTAGCTTTAATTATTAATGATTTATGATGTATTTAACCAGGGCCTCATGCGACCTTTGGGGAATTCTGGTGGTTTTGGCCCATAGCTCTATGATCTCATGTCACTTTTATTTGTGAATTCTGGCCATTTTCAGGCCGGATTTTATGTATTCAAGGGTGACATGGTGGCTCAATGGCTAGCACGGTTGTATCACACCCCCAGTGTTTGTTCTCCTTGTGTGAATTTCCTTCTGCAGTCCTGAGACGTGTAGTTAGACTAGCATCACTGAATTAGCCATAGTATTTGACTGTGCTCTGTGATGCATTGGCATGCCATCCAGGGTGTACTCCAACCTGTGCTGCATGGGATAGGTTCCAGGCCCTTTCTTGAACCTGACCAGGTGGTTGGAAGATGGATTGATGTTACAGATAAGGTCATAACTATAAGCCCCCTATCCAAAATTGAATAAAACCATTAATTTTTCTAAGAAATTATTAGTATTTAAAGTTTATGAGAGTTGCTTCCAAAAGAACAAAGACACAATTTCCAAGAGGTTTGACTGAAATATTTTACTGATGCACCTATTTAAAATGAGGAAAACAAAAATAGCATGGGCAAAATTATTAGCACTCTGACAATAGTGATTAGTGCACCCTTTCTGACTCACAACTGATAGCAACTGCTTACTGTACTTTCTCTCAAGGTTAGCACAAGTCTCCTGAGAGATCTTAGACCATCCCTCCATGGCAAGTTGCTCCTTCTCATGCAGATTAGATGGTTTCTGGACCAATTGTGATGTGTGCTTTGGGTCACTATTTTATAGAAAGACCCAATGATGACCAAAAGCCAGACTGGCAGGAGATTTCTTCAAATAATCCTTTAAGATGTCAACATAATCGTTCCTCGTTATGCCTTGTACCCGAACAAGATTTCCGGTGCAAAACAGCCCCACAGCATTATGCTCCCACCACCATGATCAACTGTGGTGAACTCAACAAAAGTTGTATCCATGCGCCAAACAGCTCCAGTTTTGTCTCATCAAACCAAAGCACAGACAAAAATCCAACCCCATATTTCAAATGGTCCTGGGCAAGCTTCAGTCTAGCTTTGATATGCTGCTGTCTAAGAAATGGAGTTTTCCTTGGCCGATGACCTTGAAATTTCCCACGATGAAGAGCCCTCACAAGCTTTTTTGAAGCTTCAAGTCTAGAATAGGCCAGTTCAGTTTGCAGTGATCTTGTTGGCATCTCTGATTATTTTCCTCTCCAAAGTCTTGCATCCCGGCCCAGATTTGTTTCTGACAGAATGGATCATTTTATATTTTGCAGTGATGCAACATACAGCTGTTCTGGACACAGTGAAACACTTAGAAATGGTGGTATAGCCATCCCCAATAAGATGAGCTTCCACTATCATTTATCTGAAGTCCATATTTATTTCTTTGGTTTTTAGCATGATGAAATTACTTTTTACAAAGAATATAAGCGTAAACTGATTGAGCCGATCAAGCCATATGGGCTTCAGGTGTGGTTTGACACCAGAACATTTAACTTTACTACAATGTTTCCTGACAAATTCACATGGGGCCAATAATTTTGACCACCCCAATTTTCAATAAAGTTGTTATACAGCAATGTAGAAGCTTTTTTTTTTTTTTTAAAAAAAAAACATACTAGTTGGAGGTTTTACATTAATGAATGTTTTACTTTTTAAAGTTAAGAAAATTATGTTAAAATTGGACATAAATATAGGAAAATGTCCCATTTCTCATAGGAGGCTAATAATTATGACCTTAACTGTATATATACACTCCCCTATTTGTGCCCTGTGCTTCTTGGGATATGCTCCAGTCTCACTGTGACCCAGTAAAGGATACAAGGTATGGAAGATGAATGTATATTACACATAAACACCAGGGGTCCTATCTAAATTGTCCCCCAGTCTATTAACAGTTTCAACACACATTTAACATGGATAGCTTTTGTTGATTTAACACAGAAAATATTAGTTTTGAAATATATTCAGTATAATAGATTATAGGTGGTTTTATTGCTATACAAGGACGAAACGGAGTCTGTCGCAACAAAAATATAGAAAGGGCGAGTACACGTCGGATAAAACAATAATATGACAACGTTCAATGCAGGAGCCAATTCAGAACGATTGTTCAAACACATGTCTTCGGTTGATGGATAACATAGCCGAAAGCAAATAAACAAACTTCAGCTCTTCATAAATCATTCCTTTGTTGAAAGATCAAGAATGAACCACAAAAGTTTTCATGAATGGAAGTAATGTGAGAAACATTTGGCTATGAAACCGGAACCGAAGTTCGCTGGTGCTTCGAGACGTCGGACAGAAATACAAGGGAACCACTTGATATAGTTCTTTGCGTTTAAATATGGAGTTTAATACGTATGCTTTTCTATGTGAGGGTAGTATTGTCACGTTATCCTGCTGAAAGTGAAGATGGTTCGCGATGTGCTGATATTGTTTGGCATGAGAGCGCGAAATTTAAAATGGGAGAGAGGCAAATACCAAATGTTCGAGGCTTTGGGGTGTCATTCATGCTTTAAGTCACAGTGTGCGAGCTGGCGGGTCCACGTGTCAGAAAGGCTGTTCACCAGTCCCTGTCACCAGGTGAGATTAATTAAAAGGTGGACAAGGAGGGAGCAAGGAGGCGCTCTTGTCTTGGTGATAGTTACAGATAAATACACATAAATCAGATTGTTAAACTGGTCGTATTTCACTGCATGCGTACATCAGTCCATTTTCTGTAACCCTTTGTTTTTTTGTTTGTTTATTGTATTTTAGAAGGTGAGTGCGGGACCTCGGAAGCAGGTGTGTGAAGTTGTCTTGCAGCACTTTGACCAGCAGTACAGTCAGGAGCTCGGCCAGCTGTGGGTGGTAGCCAGGTCGTCCAATTTAATATTAGTGCACTACATATTCAAGCTGTCTATCCACTTGTGGCTCCCTTTTTTAAGTCCAGTAAGTTTTTTTTCTATAAAGGTCTGGTCTGCTAACATAATAATAGCTTAACCATTTTCTGAGTTTGCTGTACAGTTTCTCAGTGCTGTAAAAGGCATGTACCTTGACCAGCTCATTTTGTTTTTACCTAAATCTTAATTTTTATATGCCCCCCCCCCCAGGGAGGTACTCCTGCAGCCACACTGCTGGCAGTATGGAATCATGCTGAACCGCTTCTGTGCTCCAGAGGATCTGAGGCAGCGGCTCTGCCTGCAGGGCTTCTCCAGCCTTGTAGACCACGGTTCCCTGCAGTGCTTCGTCCATCCAGCTCGCACCCGCTTCCCCTCGCAGAAGCACCAGCCCGGCTGGCTGAAACAATACTACCTGCTTAACGCGGCCTCCCTACTCCCTGTGCTGGCCCTGGACATGAGAGAAGGAGACCGGCTCCTGGACATGTGCTCAGCTCCTGGGGGCAAAGCTCTGGCGGTCCTCCAGTGTGTCACACCAGGTAGCGCGTCGTGCTGTAGGCTGCAGTCCCTGTAGCTGTCGTGCTGGTGAATCACACATGCTACTTAACGTCAAATCTGTTCTCCTCCTCCACAATCTCTGATGTTTGGTAGATTTGAGGTCTGTCCAGCTTGGGATTTCCCCGCTGTAGCCCTGGGCTTGGTTCTCCAGGCTCTGGCGAGCAGACAAACAGAACAACAGCGCAGGCTCTGCCTGTCAGCTGACGATAATGTTCATCCTGTTTGCCTGATCACCGTGCTTCCCGGTTTGTTGACATTTCGCAGCAAAGCCTTTGCTGGGCCCAGAGACCCAAAGGGCTGCTCCGCTGCCTAATTCCTCAGAACACAATATAAGGGGCAGCCCTGATGTAAAATTTGCGTTTGAAAATGTCAAGTGTGTGTTTATTACTTTTAATTGTCAGTGATATTTTAATGATGTTTAATATATTCTGTGCGTGCATGTTCTCAGAGAAGCTGAATAATCATTTTTAGTGATGGAGCACCTCTGTCTTCCAGCGTCGCTGCATTGCAATGAGTTAAACTTTGAACGGCAGCAGTGGCTGAGCAAAACCCTGGAGTCCTACGTCCCACCAGCTGTAAGAAACATTCTCACAGTCTCTAACCTGGATGGAAGAACGTTTGGAGAGCTCCAGGCGGACACTTTCGACAAGGTGGGGGGTGGGGTGGGGGATGGGCAGACATTAAGGAAGCTGTTACTGTAGGTTTACAAAAGGGCTTAAGAAAGAAAAATACGTCCCTGTGCTCCTGTTCTTTAGGTTTTGTCTCATTCACTGTGTTTAATAGACAGCTGCATATTTATATCGCACATATGGTTCCGTAATGTTTAGCTGTAGAGAATAATGCTGAGAACACGGGGCCCCATAAGGATTACACAGCTTCTTAGAGCATTTTGTCATGCATCATAGGGCCATGCATTTGCAAGGCTGTTATCTTATTCATTCTACTGCTTAATAAGAAAGTGGGCGTCTTTAGAAAATTGTACCACCTTTGCCTCATAATTAGGTAGTTTTTGCAATAGCTCATTTTCCCTGTTGAAAATTAAGCAGCATGGAGGGGAATGTCAAGGGCATTAATTTCACCTGTGGTTCTCTATTTGCCCAGAAGGTGGAGTGGCTGTGCAAGGCCTATAGGACTGATTTTCATTTGTTTGTGTTTTCAGCTGTGTCCTTCTAAATCTGCTCATCTTGCATACGTTCTGTACAGCACTGCCTGGCACATGCTAATTTTGCATATATTTCACAGTTGTACACTTCATCCAATTAGGCAAGTGGAAATTTCCTTGGGCTGAAACATGTCATGCTTGCGCACATGTGTATGTGTGTGTGTGTGTGTGTGTGTGTGTGTGTGTGAGAGAGAGAGAGACACATTCAGGCTGTCTGTCTGCGGAGCTGATTGTCAGGTACATGCTGTGTTGTTTTAATGGGTGCAGATCCCCAAGCTTAGCCAAACTAATGAAGCAAGCTGTCAGAGACACGCTGCACAGGGCGTTTAATCTGCAGAGCATCACATCGGCGCTTCATGTCTGATTGTTACTGTCACCTCCTGTCCAGGACGGGTGACACATTTGAGCATTTTAGCTCACCCTAATGTTTAAAAAGGTGAATTTCCTCTCTCTCTTGTCAGTTGCCAGTGAGTGGTGCTCTGACTGTGGGCAAGTGCATTTCATGCTCTGAAACGAGTTTTCATATCCCTGTTAAAGCTTAAATGAACTGGTATGTGTCTCTATGGAGTCCTGCTTAGTAATTGTGATCCATGACCTGAGCAAAGGTCAAAGGTCACAGAGCATGGGTCTGCTTGTAGCTGCAATCACAGGCGGTTGACACAGGCTGACTCTTTGACTCATTGTGCCATAGTCATTTTCTCCCTGCCATTTCTATTTATACCATCAGCATCTTTTTAGTGCTGTAAAAAGGGCAATTTGCTCTGTAACTCATGGCATTTGTGGAAGCAAAACGTCATGAAAGCTAAACATTGGGATGGATGCTTCTCAGCCACCGCAGGTGCTTGTTTTGGACAGACTTGCGCATCATCACATTTAACAATGAAGATTTGGCTTGTTTTGTTCCTGCTTTGTAGATGTGTAGCATCCAAAATAGACGTCTTAATACAATGCCAAGACAACACAGAATCTAGAATGCTTTAGCTTAAGATTACAGAATTCACTACTGTTGGACATTTGTAATTTCCCCTCTGGGTACAGCTGAAGTGTATCTACTGCTCAGTGCTTGTTTTGCAGCTGAAACTTATGAGTTAATAATAGGGCTGGGCAATATCATATCGGTATTATATTGCACATGCGCAATAATCACCAGGGCTTCAGATGACAGACGAAGAATTTGGCCGGACGCCAGTTTTTCGGTGCTATACGGACATTAATTTACGCCCATAATTTGGTAAGAGGATTAGTAGTATGGCTTAATTATTAATGAGATGCGTTTTGTGATACCCAAAAGTTAGTAATCTGTATAAACTTTATGTTTCTTAAATTCAATTAGCGAAGCACCCCACATAATACTGTTTTGCTATACTACGGTTTGGTATACTACGGTTTGGTATACTACGGTTTGGTGTTCCTCAGTGCAATATGCACTGAAGTCGCGGTGAAGAAGAGCAGCCACAACATCTTTTAAAAGAGGAGATCTTGTGGATAAACAACGTCGAAAGACGTCAGAGGTGTGGTGGTACTTTTTACACTTCAAAGTCTGACACATTTATTAAACGTAAGGATATGCCGTATTTATACTAATAATGACTTTTGGAGGTCATACAAAGCCTCATTAATATTTTAGCCGTACTACTAAACTGCTTAAATTGTGGGCGTAAATAAATGTCTATTTCACCGAAAAGCTGCCGCATGGCCAAATATTGCGTCTGTCATCTGAAGCCCTAGTGATTATTGCACGTGCGTGATGCAATATCGATATGATATCGCCCAGCCCTAGTTAATAATAGTAATTATAATTTGATGACGTTTGCCATTCTGGACCTCGCAGGTTCTGGTGGACGCCCCATGTTCTAACGACCGGAGCTGGCTGTTCTCAGCCCACCCGCAGCAGAGTGCCATGAGGCTGGGGGAGAGGACCAGGCTTCCAGAGATCCAGAGGGACCTTCTCAGGTATCATTCCCAAATATAGGAACCAGTACATCTTTGAACACTTATTAAAAATCCGACATTTGTTTCGTAGCTGATGCTTTTATCCGAAGCTTTTGACCCTTCCATGAATTAGGAACTATCTTGCTCAGGGGATTAGAAGGACTTTTATCGATACGGTTTTTAATAAGGATAATTGGCAACCATTTAACTATGTTTTAATAAATGTGCTGTAACACTGTAGAGTCTGTGAGGCAAACTGAAGGTTAACAGATTGTCTTTCAGTGGAGATTTTGATTTGATTTTTGGAGCATCATGAATACAGGCTCTATATAAAGATATCCCGAACAAAACTGTAAATGCAACACTCAACCATTTAAATGATTTTATCGAAAAGCCGTTAAGAAATACAAATCTAACAGCTGAAATGGAATCATTAGTCTCTCTTGGTCACAGATACCTAGAAGGTTGATCGTGGAAAACAATTCCAACATTCATATCTGGTGTGAGCACCATTTATCGGTAGCAGTATTATACATTCCAGGTCATTGATTGTGACCCCAGGAATGTTGTCCCACTGTTAAACATCTGTGTGAGGTTTCAGGTGTGATATTGGGAGCTGGAAGATGCTGTCGTATATATGTGCAGATCCAGAGAATCCTAGAAATGCCCAGTGGGTGACTGCCTGGTCCCTATGGAGGCCACATGGTCTGTGATTATGAAGCCAGTTGGTCGTACTGCCCAAAGCTGTAAAATGGTATTAGAGATGACTTATGGTAGTGGGCATCCCTGTACCCAGCATGACAAACTCGAGGCATCTGGGCTAATGTGTCGCTCAGCAAAATCTGCACATTTCACTGTGTCCTTTTATTGTCTCCATAATAAGGAACACCTCCCTAGTGAACATGCTGCTGAAGCAATGGTGAAATGCCTCTCTGGTGCAGTAGATTATCAAGGATCATCATTACATTAAAGATAAAAACATTGACCCAAAAATTTTGAAAAAAACATGCTACATCTCTGCCTCCAAAGAAATTTTTATTTACTTATTTATTTTCCCAAACTGGTGCAAAGTGGGACCGAAACCGAAAGTGTTGCATTAATATTTTTATTCAGTATAGTTGACATTGTTTGGCCAGAACTGCTTGTTTGTCTAAATGTTCCTGGAATCCATCTGACCACCCAAAATGCAGATAATCATGTCGGGCAGATGGAAGGGACAGGCCGTTTCCCGTGTGGCCCGCGGCCAGGTGGATGTAGTTTTACACTGTGTTTCTTGTTTGTTCTCCAAAAGGCAGACAAAATCAATATAATATTAAAAAAATGTTACCTTCGGACATAATTCTGTACTGAACGTCTCCGGTTTAGTCAGTGCTGAAGTGAATGAAATCTAATTTTTGCAGCCACATGGGAGTCGGGGGGGGAGTGTGGGTCCCCTCCCCCCCGTTCCCGGCAGTAAAGAGACGACGGCCCACACTGTGCTGTGACTGTCATACGTGGCAAACTTCGTGTTGGACGGGTGCCGCCTCGTGCCTTTAAAGGCAGCTGCTGCATCCCGCTTTCTGTGTAGGTGTCTGCACACCCTCTGCATCATATCCTCACACCCCAGCCTGATTTTTTCCCTTGAAGCTTTAAATTAGTTGTAATCTCCGCTGTTCTCCTTCTATAGCGGATTACGTACCGACGGCTTGATTCAGCAGAGGTAACAACGGGTCAGTTGTGGAGGTGTTTAAGGTACTGGAGGAAGTTGAGGCGTTGCCTGGCAGTGTCTCCAGCACCGTGGACGTCAGGCTCGCGCTCCGGGAGCGTTTCAGCGCATCTCTCAGCCTTTTCCCTCATATTCTGCCCTTGGTTTCCGCTCCGGAGCTCATCGCCTTCATGCTGCACATAAATTCCAGCAGCTACTTTCCAGGCTGTTTAGTATGGAGGCCGCAGAGGCTCCATCACACTCCTGCGTCTGTAAGAGATGCTTAGACGGACGAGGCCCCCGGTTCATACGGCATGACGGCTGCACTGCCCTGCATCGCCCGGGCCTGGACCGCCCCTGCTTCCACAGCCTCCATAAATTATCTGCACACACCTAAATCTCTCAGCAATTTTCCATCTCAGTGGTTGCAACCAGTGAAGTTTCCTGCATTCAGGAGAGAGGACCAGACTAAAATGATGTACTAGAATTGTCTGGAAGTAGTTCCTAAAAACTAGAGACCTGCTTATCGGTGCAGAACTCATTGTTTAATGGTCGTGTTAAACATCGGTGTTTCTTATTTTTCTCCCTGATGTATGCCAGGAAGTGATTTTTAACCATGATTAAAGTAGCCTCCGTATTTGTTAGAAACTCAGCCACTGTTTATATACGCAAAATATAAGTGTTTGGTGATACTAAGATGTGCAGTAGATCTTAAGCTGTTTTTGTTTATTTGTTCAGCATGATTTAAGTGGTAGAACCCGAATGCGTCTGCCTTTTCCGTTGATCCTCTAAGAGACCTCAGCTTGTGTTCCTTCCATCTTCACTACTGAGGTTTGTGGGAACCTTGTGAGCCTTAAGAGCCTGTGTCCGCAGCTTGGAAATGAAATGGATGTTCGTTCTTCCATTTCCATTAATTTTCTTAGCAGAGACTTTTGTCCAAAGAGACATACAAATGAGGCAAATGGCACATTACAAACATACGGTTGTCAAAGTGTCAACAAGGCATGAATACAATAGGCTGAGCTTATAATGAATGCTCAGTTACAAGTGTTACTTTCTTCCAGTCAGCCACTGTCACCGTACAATAATTACTCTACTGGCTGCAGCCATCGTCGTGCCAAAGTCTTTGACCCCATTAGTCAATACTAATAAAGGATTAATTAGAGTTCAGCTGTTTGAATACTCTGCTGCTGGTGGGGGGAGGGGGTGTTGATGTGGGTCAGCCCTGTCCAGTGTAAATATTTAGCCTTCACCTTCAGATGAGGCTGTGATTAAACAGAGATCACGAGAAGTGGTTTACAGGACCATGTCTTATTCTCTGGGGCTCCACCAGACCAGTCATCCCAGTGGGGAAAGCCTGGGAAAAACAGTGAATAATAAGGCAAGACACAGAATCCTCCAGGATGTGACAAAGCCCCCCCCTGGGAGTGCCCCCTCAGCCACAGACACAAAGTGTCCATGATTCAGTCACCAAATAGGCAGGGGAAGATCTAAGGACCTCTCACGCGTCATAGCAACACCATGGAAACCTCAGAAGAGCATAAAATCAAGAGGATAAAATACTGCCTTCACGTTTACCACAGGGTGATCCTCCTCAATTCTGGGAGGATGCAGTGTCGATGAATCAAGGCACTGGCCTTTAAAATCTGATTTTAAAGGAAAAACATCACTGCGTTGCAGTGAAGCCCCACATGACTGAGGGCCAGTGGTAGTGGTGTCATGGTTTGTGGCTGTTTTGTGCATCAGAACCAAGCTGACATGCACTTATGGAGGGAATCACGCGTTGTTCTCTGATAGAGAGAATAGTGAAGCCATCTGTCCATCAGCTGACGCAAAACAATCATACATGATGCCAGCAAATACTTTATTCTCATTATCTCATGTATCTTGCTGTACTAAATAAGTATTTAAGATTAAATTATACACTCTTTCATCAGTCATGTTTCCTTATATTGTTTTCTGATAGAAGATGTGATGGCATTTGGTGTCAAACATGCATATATGTAGAAAACTGAAACTTATAATGTAATTTCAGCTGCTGGAAGCATTAATCAGTTAAGACAAACTAGAAGAGTTGAGCTGCCTTTGTAGCCCCATCCTGGCCATGGACTGTATGTCTTGGAATCTTGAGGTGGCTTCTCTCTCCTCCAATAAAAAACATGCCTCACTGCTCCAGGTACAGACTGCTGCACTGTGTATGTGCTGTCAACCAGCAGGGGGCCTCAGCGTCGCTGCTGTATCCCTGGGGTCCGGCTGTCCCCGCCGCACCCAGTAAGCAGCCCTTGCTTCTCCAGGACACCAACTTCTCATAACACGTCCTTGTAGTAAACTGCAGTCCAGGTCAATGGGACAAGATGTGCAAAAATAGTTGTGAGAATCCCCTAGGTCTGAGCTCCTCAAAAAGAGCAATCCAGTCAAATCTGGTTAAATCCAGTTAAATCCCACTTATTCCCACAAAACATGAAAAGGAAGCTAGCAACCACTGCCTACCCTGGACCCAACAAAAAGCTTGATAAATCCCATTTTACAGGGTCTGCCGTTTATTTCTAAAAAAAACAGGTGTACACAAAGGCCCGAACACGGGGAGGTTAACGGAACCAGCTTCGCTGACCGATTCTCACACTCGTGATTAACCACCCTAATTCTGTGTGGCGGAAACACTAATCATTGAACACTCCATAGAAACTATGAAGTAATTAACTGCCGATATTTAATTAATGAATATAATTAATATGGGTGTGCCGATGTGGTTGGATGAACGGCTGGGTTCAGGCAAGGCGTGGAAGCCCCAGGGTGATGTGGGGGTGCCATTTGGGGGAGGGGTCATAAGCCCTCCAGGAGGTGCATTTGGTCCCGCAAAGGCTGGGCCCCCGCATCAGTGCCGTGACTGCTCCACAATCTCGACGCGTCGACTGCGTCTCCTGTTCCGCCTCCGTGGTGCCGTTGCGGAGTGCTTGCTGTGTACAGTATACCTCTGCTGACCAGAATATTAATGAAACCCCCCGCCAGCTGACGCTCTGACGCCAGCCGTTCACACCGCTGTGTTACGGAGGCCTGAGAGTTGTGCACAAGCTCTCATACTGTGAGCATTTAGTGAAGCTGTAACAGTGTGGATTGATGCATTCTGTTTTCCTGCTGCGGTACCTGAAGCCCATTTATTTATTTGCAGTTAGTGTCTGCAGTAATGTAAACATATTAGGGCTGACCTTGAACGACTTTGTGCTACTGGTGGGGGGGCGGGGGTGTGTTGGTCGATTGACATGGATGGTCTCCCTGCAGGTTTCTCTGCTGGGTCTCTCTACATAGAAATGAGTCAGTTCCCACATGAACACTAACCGTCAGGAGAGGCCAGGACTTAAAAACCAAGCAATTTTAATACCCTAAGCTTCCTTAGGAAAACGGAATCAGACTGTCCACTTTGGTTCGTTGATGGAAGGGGCTGCTTAACCCTCAGGGCCGTCTGGAGTGCACTTCCTACATACCGCCATCACTCAGAATCATTGCTGATAGCATATTGCTGTAATACCGCCTTGTTTGTTTTCCCTCATGTCTTTTTAGAATCGTTATGTGCAGTTATGTCTGACTGTCTGCAGACAGAATCCAGTGATACTGCCAGAGCATCATACCTGTTCCTTTTCCTGATCGCGGCACAAAGCGTTCAGCGAGAGGTAACGGCGGGGTCAGCGAACGTTTATTCCCAGATGGGACTTCGGCACAGCATTCAAACAGTTAAAAGCTTGCCTTTCAAATTGGTACTTGGAAATAGTAACTTATTTTTCACACCTCAAGTGACAATGATTCAGCTTCACTCCCACATCTTCCAAACGCTCTTTCGTGATTATGCTCTTCCAGAGTTTTGAGCGGCGCCGTATCTCTCTTGAGGAGGCCAATTGAGTTTTACAGCGAAGGAGAGCACACTGTCTCCGCGTGGCATTTGTCAGAGGCAGCAGTGTATGAGCTGTGTCATTGAGCCATTTAAATAAAAGCTTTGAGCACAGCTAGGCCTTAAACCTCACACGCGCTGTAGGGGAACCAAGGACTGTCTGGCCATAGTCAATTAGTCCTGTGCTACAAACGTAATTGAATTATGCCAGAGTAAATTCCAAGCGGAATCTTCTAATGATGAATAATGTCGTACCATAGGCGATGAGCCTTCCTTCCACAGGTTAATGTGCTGCAGGCCCACTGTGTGCCAGCCCAGCCTGCATGGCTGCTCTCTCCTTCGACTTCCACATAAAACATGATTCCTGACATCAGAGTGGATTTAAAGTATTAGTAACCTTTCTGTAGGGGTCTCCTCTGACAGCATGATGGGCGACACATGTATTTGGGCCATTTGGAAAGTGAGCAGATGCCCAGTTGGTGTCATCCCCCCCCCCCAGTGGGTGTTGTGGGATGGTGACGAGTGTATGTGGGATGACCATGTGGGACACTTTATTTTGCTAGTCTGGCCATGGGTAAACTGGTCTGGGGACAGTGAAGTTTGAGTTATTAATTGCTTCTCGTATTTTGCAGCAGCGTGAAGAACATCATCATATGAAAAACAAATTGAAAGAGATTTCCTTGCTTTTTCTGATGTCATTTCTTGTTTGTGGATCTGCTGGCGTTGAGTAGGTCAGCCTTGGCAGCAGTTCGTCCTGGAGGTCTGGTTGTTTACTCCACCTGCACCCTGTCCCATGCGGAGAACGGCGCCGTGGTCCAGGAAGTCCTGTCCTGCTGCTCCAATGCAGAGCTTCAGAACCTGGAGGAGATGTCCTGTTCCCTCGGTCATCGCTTCACCTTCGGCCCCAGCTCCCCATTTGGTCTTTTAGTTGTCCCAGATCATGGTCGGACTTGGGGGCCTATGTTCCTCTCTAAGCTTAAAAGACTGTATTAAAACATTTGAATATAATATTCCATATGTTGCTCTTATGAGCAAACCTTTTTATGTTCCTCTTAAGCATGTGGGAGAACAGTAATATTAGTAGGATTAGTAGGACAAACAGTGGCACATGAAAGGAAGTACTGGTCGTGAGTGGAAACAGCTTTAACAGAAGGGTGCAGAAAATCAAAAGATGCTTTCACGCTGCCGGAACTTTTTTCCGGGAACCAGGGACTTCTGTTATGTTCACAACACAGGAACTCAACGAGACTGTAGTTCCTCAGAGGCAGTTTGAGATCCCTTTTTAGTATCTATTCCAGACTAGGTACTTTTCAAATGAACTCACACTACTAGGGAGGCGCTTACAGTGGTTGCTTGCTGATGGCACTAACTTGAAAGTTATGTAGAAGTGCAGAAAAAGAGATGTAGCTGAGAAAAAATGGATCAGATGTATTTTTTCGTATCCCAGTTACATTTAGTGCATCAATTAATAAACTTTTTGCTTGTGTCTCCATATTTCTGCATCAGAAAAGTTGATCACTAACTAATATACTTTCGTCTAACCCTGGGGAACCCATGGGGTCATATACGACCCATCCTTTTATTTCTGCCTTACATTCAACCCACTCATGAAAGTTAAGAATTTTTTTTTGCTTTACAGACCATATACGACCCAGTAACAGTGACATTTAGTGATTACTGACTGAATCAACCAGATTTTTTTACACAATAAATATGGCCCCCAACGTGTTTTGAGGTTGTTGCTGTACATGCTGCAAAGATTCACCTGTCAAGCTGTGAATAGGTAAGTGGCAGAAATTTTGCATCATCAGTTATAATGTTTAGATGTTATAGAACATGTACAACTAGGTTTTGGATGTTTTGAAACTTTTCTGGCAACTGGGATGATCATGTTCCATGTGCTCAACATCAGCCTCAGACAAAAACAGAGGGAATACAGGTGGTGCAGCAGACCTTACAAGCCACCACAGGTAAACGCTCTGTGTGTAGTACACCTTTTTGCAGGTCTATTCACTTGACCTGTTTCTTGATGGGTTGGCATGTTTGAAGCATGTGTTTTATTGCCAGCACATGGTGAATGATGAAAAGGAAAACTCAATAAATGCATTTTGAAAATGAGAATGTTGCAAAGATTTGGTTTTTCCTTCTTTTCTGTCCTTGTTTCATACAGTAGGTGAAATTAACAAGTTGGAACAGCATGAACAGTCCAGTGGGTCGTATATGGCACATTCATAACATGGACTGGGAAAGGGTTATTTTTATAAAACACCTGTTTTTGAGTTCACTGGGCCTGTATGATCATTTTAGCCGATGGATATATTTTTCCTATAATGATAAGGTGGTCTGGGTTCCCCAGAGCTAATATTGCCAGTGTGGCGGTGATACTTGCCAGCGCTTATTAGTGGGATAAAGGTGTGGTGTTTTATCCTGTGGAAAACGAAAGATCAATCTAATAGGCTGTGTCCCATTTTGATCGCGATTGATCCTCCCCAATAACGATTAACTAAAAAATGACTTACCATCCATTGTTTTGCTATGGTGGTGTAGTTTCGTATGAAATTGTGTTAAGTTTAACTTGCAAACTTTTTTATGCTGGAAGAGAAGATCTGCTTTGGTTCTCCTGAGTATTTCCTTTCAAGCTCTCTTTTACTTGTAGGCACTTTCACACTGAAGTTCCGCAACCTGGTCCCTGAGCTGCTCAAACTTGGAACTTTTGTAGCTCCTGGTGACTTTTGTATGTCGCTTTCACATGGCACAACAGGAACTGGGACCTTTAACATAAGAAATTACACTGCCACACTAAAGCAATGCATGATAAGTCGTTAAGTTAATAATTACCAACCAGGAACCATGTTTTGTGTGACACAGAGATCCTCAGTAACTCAGTCATCCCTGTAAACCCATTTGATCGTTGTAGATACTGAGCACTATGAGTATCACAATGTGATTGCCTGTATCAGCTGCTTTCCAGCCATTTTTATAGATTTCATTTAATAAATGTTTTAATAAAGCCTGTAAATCTGTTGCCCATATTGGTTCTGATTCTTTAATGGACTTTAATGAACTACATCTTCTGACTTCCTTTCTGGCTCTTTGAAGGCTGGGAGAATGGAGCTTGCCAAATCCAATTCTGGTTCCTCTTTAAATAGCGGTTCAGCTCATCTGTGCAGAAACCTCCTGCTTCAGCAGAGCCATCTCCTAAGCAATGCCATCGAACGCGAGTGCAACTTTTTGAAACTGCAGCTATTTTCTGCTATGAGGAATGGCTGCAGTGCATGCACTTAAAATAACTGCTGACATTTAAGCTTCTCCTCTGGAACACAGTATTTCACTGTAACAAAGGCTGACAAGAATGCTCATAGCCTCTTAGACGGCCAGTTAGACAGTTTAAGGATGATCCAGGTTTTTCTCATAGCACCCTAAATGGAACAATGTTCCGATTTAATAGCCGCATACAAATTCATTGCAAATAGTGGCTGAAGTTTGGGCTAGAAGTGACTATTGTCAAAAAAACAAGCTGGTGATTTTTCATCTGTAATGTTGAGGCTTATTTTGATTGTTGTCCTGCCCAGGCCACTTATGTGTTCTCACCACATTTACAAATATATTCATAATTGCTTATCTGCTTTGTTTGGTGACCCAGCCTATTATTTGAGGCAGGTTTACTCTTTAAGATGCAAAGCTAAGCAGGACTGGATGCTAATAACCACCCCCTTGTTCCAGATCACTGTGCTCTACTGGAGTCTTTCAAGAACCTCAATCTACTCTACTTTTAATCCACTTAAGTCATTAATTCCCATACACCCATTCTTCTGAAATTGGTCATTTAATGTGGCGATGGGGTGTTGATCTCCAGCTAGGTATCCAAAAAGAAAATTGCTGAACTCTTAGCCATTAAATGAATAAGCATTCTTCCCTAATACCAGGCTCTTTAATCAACACGGTATAGTGAATGATAAACCAGAAGGGACTGGGTGTTTACTGTTTGGATGTTATAAATCTCCCAGAGTAAACAGACGAATTTGCTGAATGCAGAACGCAGTGGGCTAATGCTGTGGTGTCAGCGTTCAACGCCTGAACTTCGTTTTTGCATTATAATTTATTTAAATCTCTGCAAACGTTTGTCATCATTAAAAATAAAATAAAACAATGTTAAAAGTGTTGGAAGCAGAAGGCAGTCGATTGACTCTCCCCGTTCAGGTTGTTGTGTGTCCATGGCGTGGAGATCAGCCAGTTACCTTTCTTAATGGTGTGTATCCATCATTTCATTTTCTGTTCTGCCGCTCTGATGCCATGAGTCACGACATGCAGGCGCTCCTGACTTCACAAAATTGGCAGGAGATAACTTAGACCTTCAATTAATTTAACAGAAGCCGATAACAGCAACCTCTTTATTCCGTAAGTTTAACATGCATTAAGCAGAAAATTGCTCTGCCGTGGGCAGTCGCCCATTTTAGCTGAAAAGAAATACCTGCCATTTTTATGCTTAATTCCCCTCCCGTGATCACGACCAAGTCAGCTACATTTATGTTATTATTCAGCTGGATTCCAGGGTAACACCGGAGTAAAGCCACTGCGATAAGATGCCCCTCACACACCTGCTCTCAGCCTCATTTCTGACTAAATTAGGGAGAAATTAGGCTTCAAAACCCAAGGGGGGGCAGTGCACTGTCAATCAATACCCAGTTAACCCAGATACCCCAATGGGAGGTAATCCCTCTCTCTCCCTCTAACTTTCCAAGCCTAACTTCTCCCATCAGTACCCTAAAATGTTAAATGGCAATTAACAATAAAATTTATATGGTGAACTATTAGGGAGTGTGAAATATTACAGCAAGTAGCATTAAAATGTTTCAGTTTTAGGTACTGGAATAATGCAGGTTCCCTGTCGTTTACCTGCCCAGCAAAATGGTGCTTCTCTGGGCTTGAACAGGTGTGCAGAACAGGCCGTGCGCATTGTTTCCATACGAAGACTCATGGTCTCTATTACTTAGCAATTTACATTCTGAGCTATACTTACAATCAGCATGGTTTTGCCAGCAACAGTATGTTTAACATATTTTGCCTAAGTATATGTGTGTGCGAGGGAAGAGTGCCCCAAAGACGAGGGGGGGGAGCTAGATGGAGGGGTAGACAATGTGTGCGATGTTGGTTTGTCATCTGTAAAGGAAATCTAACGTCTCTCCATCATACACACATTTTAAGGGTGTCTCCATACTGGATGATGTACATCAGAGAGTATTCAGAGCCCTTCACATTTTTCAAATTTTACATTGCAGCCTTATGCTATATTCATTTAATCAGTCTACACTGAGTAGACAGTTGTGTAACTTTCTGAATCGCGTCTAATCAATTGGAATCTCAACAAAGTGTAGAAACATTTCAAAGGTGATCAATAGAAATGGGTCAAAGTGTCGCAGCAAGTGGTCTGAATACTTATTCAATTTGATGTCAATACTTTATTTTAAATTTATGTGCAAAATTTCTAAAATCCTGTTTTTGTTTTGTCATTATAGATTGTAGATTGAAGGGAAAAAATGAATTTAAATGATGCTAGCATAAGGCTGCAACATAAAATGTGAAAAAAGTGATGGGGGCTGAGTACTTTCTGAATGCACAGTGTATGGAAGCTATTTATGCCTTGGAGGAGTCAAAAATAAGAAGAAACAGTGTGTCTAAATGTCTAATCGTGGGCAGGTGAGAGAATCAGGAGTGAGTCATAGTGTTCAGCCTGGTCTTATTCCAGTGGAAGTTTCATGGCAATGAGCGTTACTTTGTCTTCTGTCGGGGACTCGGCAGAGCTGTGAGCTGTGAAATGCTGACCTGTATTAGCTATTAGCTAGCTAAGTGAGCTAATTCTTGCGAGAGTCAGATGTACAGATACCGTGAGGACACCTGCTGTCTTTGATGTTCTCTGCCCATCTGCATCTCCTGACTGACATCCACTGCAGGGTTTCTCTTCCCTCAGAGAGCCAGTGCCTCACTAGCGCCCCCTGGCTCCAGCACCACCTTTTCTCATTAATTCTCTTAATTAAAATCTTCATGCTCTGCATCCTAAAGCAGCTGCTACCAGTAGGAGCTTTTGTGTGACCTGCTTCATTTTCAAGGCAAAATCCTCTGGTCATCACTTCGCTTGCCTGAGGATTCCCACCTGCCCTGCTTCCCTTTTGTCTTTCTTCTTGTCATTTGATCAAACAGCTTGGGCAAGAACTGAAGCTGCTGTGGAAAACAGTTAAGATTCTGCTCCCTCATATGTACTGGATGGTCTTCATTCAGTGTGGATCCCAGTCTCAGTATATGTAACATATACCTGCTCGTCCATGTCCACTGTTGTTTTGCAAGATAAATGAACCTACAAAAAGTAAAAATACAGAACATAACTTCTTTCCAAGGAAACATAGTCATGTAAAAAAAATTAGGACACCCCATTAAATATTTAATTCTTTATTAAGAAATATCAAAATATCAACATTAAATCTTCTTTCAAATTATATCTGTAGATAGGTGATGTAATTTAACAAAGGAAATTAAGATGCCAATTCCTACTGAAGAAAAAGTTAGGACACCCTGTGCCCTAATAGCTAGTATTTCCCCCTTTGGCTGAAATAACCTCAATGAGAAGTTTCCTATAACCATCTATCAATCTCTGACATCGACTGGCAGAAGGTTTCCCCCACTTTCTAATGCAGAATTCCTTAAGCTGCATCTCAGTAGGATTCAGATCCGGGCTTAGCCATTCTTTGGTAGATTTACTGGAATGTTTTGGTTCATTGTCATTTGCATGGTCCACCCCCACTTCAGCTTCAACTTCTGGACAGATGATCTCACATTGTCCTCAACCACCATCTGATATGATGAAGAATTCACAGTGGATTATACAACGGTGACCTGGCCAGTTTCTGCTGCAGCAAAGCAGCCCCAAACCATGACATTTCCACCCCCATGCACAGCTGGTATGAGGTTCCTTTGCTCAAAATCTGTTTTTGGTTTACACCAAATATGTCCTCTGTTACGGTGTCCAAATAATTCAATTTCAGATTCATCGGTCCAAAGCATTGTTCCATTTAAATAAGACAGGCTCCACCAATAAGCTCTGTAACGATGTTCTAATCATCTTC